TATATATAAAATGTGTATATCTATATCGATCTCTCCCCTTACCCAATGATAATAATAGCTAAAAAGTTCCTGTCAGAGATGCAGACCAAATAAACCACCAAAACAGCAGAATTGCCTGATCTGAGGGAATAGATACTATACAGAAAAAGGAATAGAAAGCACTGCCTGTCACAACATATTTAAAGCTACTCCTCTTTGAGCTCACTTTTGAGTAGGCAGATCTAGCATCCAACAACGTATCACTCCCATAAAGCAGGAGGTAGGTAATTTTTCATATTATATTACCATTTTGCACTCATAAAAGGAGTGCCAGTGTAACATTTCATTAAAGTGCACCATCCATCTGTACATTCGTTTTCATTCAGTCACCAAGCCGTTGCAAAAAGACTTTAATTGATCTTTTATTACCCGCCTTGTCTTATTTTGTTAACGACCTGATGTGTAAGATAAAATTACCTACAGTAATACACGTTTTCTTTCTAGGTTCCAATTTAACAGCAATGAATGACTCTGTGAATGACAGTGAGAATTTCTTTGAGTATGAAGATGAAATCTGTGAAAAAGAAGAGCTGGTCAAATTTGGATCCATTGCCATTCCTGTTTTCTTCTTTGTTGTGATCACACTGAGCCTCATAGGAAATATCCTTGTTCTGGTATTACTGGCCTTCTATGAAAACCTAAAGTCTCTCACCAACATTTTCATCCTCAACCTGGCAATCTCTGACCTCATCTTCACCACCGGGCTCCCTTTCTGGGCCGTTTACCACATCTGGGGATGGGTGTTTCCAGAGATTCTCTGCAAAATTGTGACTTTTGTCTTCTTCACCGGGTTTTACAGCAGCATCCTCTTCTTGACCATGATGACTATCTACAGGTATTTGGCCGTGGTCCACCCTCTTTATGACCTGAGCACACAGAAAGTCAGCACTGGGGTTGTTGTATCTTTCCTAATCTGGATAATCAGCACTGGGGCAGCCATTCCCTCCCTGCTCTACACCTCCCTCATTGAGATCTACCACAAGGATGGTAGTTCCTGGGGCTGCGAATACAACACTGCCCTGTGCAAAAACATTGCTATTTCTCAACAGAATATTTTATTTTTGGTTGCTTTTGCAGTGATAGGTTTCTGCTACATCCAAATACTGCGAAGAATTACAAGAACAAGATCGCCCACAAAGAACAGAGCAGTTAAGTTAGTCTTCTGTATTGTAGCTGTGTTCTTCGTCGGCTGGGTGCCTTACAATGTGGTCATCTTTCTGAGGATTTTGGCTGATAATTTGGTTGAACCCTTTGATGACTGCAGAGTAAGCATCCAGCTTGATTATGCATTCTATGTGTGCCGGTTCATTGCTTTCTCCCACTGCTGCCTCAACCCTGTCTTTTATGTATTTGTTGGTGTGAAGTTTAGGAGTCATTTGAAGTCGATGCTGCATCGGCTGTTTAATCGCCAAAGACTAGTCGAGGAACAGCAGCAGGTTAGAATGCAAAACCTCATCTCACATGGATCAGTGTACTAGTTTCTGCCATTTTCTTGTATTTACTGTTGTATCACGGATTTAATAATATTCATTTGGTGTGTACTTGGTAGAAATAGAAACTAGTTCATATGTTGAGGTTTGCAAGCAAGCTGAACTCAATATTCAAATCAGACTTCTGCCATTTATTGTTTCATGTGTGTATCTGTGTTGAATCTTTGATAGAAGGTGACTTGAATTGTTTTAGGTCATGGTTTTAATTTCAAAATATTATTAGTAGCAGTGAAAGTGGAGTTTAAATTTATTACTGTAATTACAACTGGGTCATTGTGTCACAGCTAAACATAATTTTTGCATATATAATGCCGATGTCAGATGTTTGTTACCAAACTTTTTGTTATAATGCTAGCAAATATTTGATTTGATTTTGATTTTGATTTTGATTTATTCTTTCAAACATGCAGAACAAATGACATCAACACACACACATGATTACACAAAGCCAACCACTGCTAATCCAGAATCAGTTTGCTTATACCCAGCACATGTTTGAATGGAGTAGGAAGAAGTCAGACTTATCCAGTCCTACCCCAGAACATCATCTTATACAAAAAATTTCATGCATCATTGGCTGCAAGCAGTATCTAAACATAGTAAAATTCTCTTCTTCACCAACAAGTAAT